TTTTGGCTGTGGACGACAGAAGCAATGACTCCGCAACTTGAAAATAGCTGCTAATTGTTTTCAAGTTTTTTGTTTCCATTTTGAGGGAAGAAATAGCTCAAAAATGGCTGTGCTTTGTTTTACCTCCAAGAACCACATTCTCCTCGTTGAGTTTAAGCAATTTCCCTGAGGTAAAAATCTTTGTTCATGTTTGCACATGAAACGTTGTGGAATGAACTGAAACTTTGTTACCCGCGCAAACTGAAAGAGCGCGCGCCAACCGCGTGCATCACGTGACCTCGGGTGTATCCYGTGTTGAGTTGGTGTTACGATTAAGATTTTGATGATGACCAAAAAACTGCTTATTCTGGCATAGATCTCTGATATCTAGTAGTTCGCTGTAAGATATGAAATTCACAGTCAATGTGGCTATTTTGTAACAAATAGGAAACAAGTTAAACGAGTCTTAATTTCAATAAACTGTCTTTGAAATTGTGAGGTCTGTTTACAGATGTCCACAACGATTCACTTTCTTCGATAAAAACAAACAAATTAATACAAGAACTTCTCTTTGGTAATCAGCTTTCGACTTTTCAGTAGAAAAACTAAAAGAAATCGATTGAAACCTAGTTTCCACTTTCTCTGTCATTTTCTTAGGTATTCTTTGAGTGACGATAACATCAACGAGATTCCATTGTTTTTGGCGCTTCTACAAGCTGCAGCCGCTTTGTCATACAGCGATAATGATTTCTCTCGCCATGTTTCCACTTCTTCAGCAACGTCAGCCACTTTGCTTTTGTCAAATGCAATTTTGCTCTTGCAAATCAAGCGAAATGCGTCCGTGTAGGTATCCTCAGAGTCTGTTTTCAAGTCTGGTTCCTCCAACCTTTGAACACATCGTTCTGCTTCTTCAAGATCTGAAATACTACTTGGACAACAATCAAACCCGTTCTTTGAAAACCCAAGATGCAGACGTGCTTTGTCAGCAAAAACAAATCTAAGATAAAAGGAACTTCTAGGAACGCTATCCTGGTTTCTCTGGCACAGTTCAATGATTGTGTTCCAAACAGGGGTTAATTTCTCTTTCTTGCTGTGCAGTAAGCCGTCCTCGTACAGTAAACAGTCAGCAATGCGTTTCTGGCAAACAATCTGCTCTTCTGGGCTCTCCATGGTCGACACCATCATATTCGCTTCCTCAGCCAAGACCCTTGACTCGGAATATTTTTCTTCGTACACCAGCTTTAAAGATTTTCTTGCCAGGGCCCTTGCAAGAATTCTCGAACAATTTTCTCCCGCTCTCCAAGCATTCGC